TACCATCCCCTCCTGCCCCCTGGATGAGCCGTGGCTCCGTCCTGTGCCTGCCTCGCCCAGGCAGCGCCTAACTTAGCCCCAGCCCCACCTCCTCCGCACAGGAGGGTGTTGATCTGCCCCTTCCCTCCCCTCTCCCCTTTTACCACAACAGACTTACTAGCTGGACTCAGCTGTATCAGAAATCGGATTAGTATTGGCTGATATGCCTCCTTAAAAATCGGCTATCAGTATCAGCCCCCAAAATATCTATCGGTGCACCCCTACTTCTTAAACCACTTCTTTACTCCTTTTTTTTCCAGTCTCCTTCCCAGCTTTTCAGAAGTCGGGTGGTGGTCTATTTGTCTGAGGCCAGACTGAGTATTTGGGAACGTTATTGCAGTATTAAGTTTTTTCTACATCAGTTGAATTGCCTGGTGAGCAAAAATGTTCTGTTGGTAATGATATCTTCTGATCTGCTGAAGGTCTCGAGTCAACAGTGTCTCCAGCAGACACTCTGCTTACTGCTTCAGCTGCTGCAATTTTTCAGCTTGATGTTAGATCCTCAACTGATGATTCAGGTAAGAACCTTATTAGTCAGTCTACTTAGTAAATACTGGGCCCTTGGCTGACTAAGAAACATCTGATGAATTGCCTCCATGGTCTGATTTCTACCATTTAGCAACAATGAAGATTTTTGACTTTATTTTGAATTCTTTCTTTGATGCCTTTGCTTAATGCTATGCATTGGTCACTATGGTTTTTAGGAATGTCATGTGTTTTATCCCCAAAAGTTAAGTTTGTGTTTGTGGGTTTATGTCTATAAAAAGTAATGTTGGAAATGGTGGATTCAGGCATTTTGTTTATACCTTGAACAGCTCTAGAATACTTTCTTTGCTGCAGGTATGTGCCATTGCTGCATCAAATATCCCATCTAACTTTCTGGGCCAGTGGTGCCTAAACTATTGGCTCTGTGGGCTGGCTGTGTGGTGCCTGGTCAGTCCACAGGCTACATCCGGTCCATACTCCTGATACAGCATGCAACACTGGCCCTGCTGGGGCCTGAGCCATCCGTGTGGGGTTTGGAAATTTGGTGTTGGGAGAATGATGGCAGTGTTAACTGCAGCTGTTCCCCTGCTGCCAAATTTCTGGACTTGGATCAGATGACACTGCTCTGCAGACTAGGGGTTGAGCACTCCTGTTCTAGATTTTGGCATACTCAAGTTCAGTGGTCATCGCAGAGCCTAGTGGATTAAAGTTTTGATCTGTAGTCCTGTTATTTTGTGGGTCTTCATATAGATTTATTTTCCTGCAGGTATTTGCACTGCAAACTTCCCTCGTTCAGTTGGATCCTCCAGATCACATTCGGTTGGCAGCACTGGATTTTCTTTCATCTCTGGGAAAACTGTTTATACCCCAAGTAATCCAGGTAAAATGCACTGGGGGTCACATTTATCCTGAGCTTTTATATTTATATATAAATAAAAAAAATTAAAGGATCATGTTCATGAACTATAACAGCACCACAGGATAATGATCCTCAGGAGACATTTTTAAGACAGGAGATAATGATTTACATAGGTTTCATATTCCACTGAGATTATCTCAGTTGTACCTAATGACTGTAGGATGCTCAGTGCACTCATTTACATGTTGTCGTTTTCCAGAAGTTTGCTAGAACTAGCGCTTGAGCTTTAGATGAGGCGTGCGCATAGGATGGAAGGGTGTTCCTTCTTACCATGTTTGTTGCCAGCCAGCACTGTGGCTGACTTTCTGTGCTTGCACACTACAGGGCTCAGCAGTGTTTCCTTCACAATGAATCATGACAGTGGTATATGTGGAGCTCACCACTGTGTAAGCTATCTGATGAGAATTAGAATTTGCTCACTTTTCAGGGACAAGTTGTGTCCAAGCTGTCGGGTCTCTTTGGCTCTCTGTTGGCTGACAAGACGTGGCTGATTCACCAACATGCACTGGAGGCATTTGCTCAATTTGCAGAGGTAAGAATGGCTGTACTTTGGATATACACATTCGACACTTAATTTATTTCATATAGAGATTTTTTAATTTCTGTTGCTGCTTTCTGAATTCCCTTCACTTTGTTAATATCATTTTGGCAGCCAGTTGCCTAGAACTGACTTTGGTATTCCTGATACTACTGCAACAGAGAAAAGGGGCTATGCAAGGAAAACATAGTAATATAAGCTTGGACGAAGGAAGAACAGATTTCTTATGTCCTGAATACCACATACACTTTCTTTTCTCAATCTGTGCACGTAACCCATTAACACAGATACTTTTTCAGGTGTTCTGTAGTTCATCTTGACTGCTATGTTGAAGACTAATCAAATTTTTTGCTCAATACCTTTGACAGGAAACAAGCCATGAAGACATAGTTCCTCAGTGCCTTAATTCTGAAGACAGTAAGAACAAAGTTGTTTGCTTTCTGGCCAAGGTATTTGGTTGAACTCTTACTATTGCCTTGCTTAATAGAGAACGGCTTTTGCCAACAATAACATGAAATCAGACTGCTCTGCGACTGGAATCAGATTTGAGTTTTTAATATGTCAGCACTGGCTGAGATCAAGCATAATGTTGACACCTGCTATAAACTCCTCACCCACGCAGTTCTCCCAATGCTGTTCAGTTTTGACTTGTTAATGCCTTGACTTTTCCTTTCTTGGGTAAAGGGTGACTCAACATAGGGAGGGGTGGAGGTGACTTTGTAAGTTGAGAAGGTGTCTGTAAGTGAAAAGATGACAGGTGGCAGCTCTCTTGTGCTGTAAACAATTACAGCCTAAGTTAGCAGTGGAGAAAGGCCAGGTCCCTAACCCCCCTTGCTGGTTTATGTGCTGTTTTTTTCATGCTCCAGTTAAAAAGGGGGAACCTTCATGAAAATCTGTGACCACATCAGCCTCCATATCATGGCTTGAGAAAAGCTAACAAATGTGCAAGGGAAGAGAGAAAATTATGTTGCCTAACTGGAAGAACACTGGAAAATCTTTACATGAATGCAGTTCACTTACTGCCTTGACTCTAGAAAGACTTCAGTATCTGTTGATGAGCCAGTTTTCCACTGGTCATCCAGCACTTCAGAGGGAATAGATCTGCTGGAGGGAGTACGTAGGTTTTTCACAGCAATCAGTAGGAAGGCAGCAGAGCAACTGGTATTTGGCAGTGCTGTCACAACAAAGGGTGGGTGGCTGCTCCTCCCTTTGCAAATCTGCTGGGTTTGAAACCTTGCTCTGAGGAAGACAGGCTGGTTGGCAGCCTAATGGGATTTTTCTCACTTTAGTTTTGAAAGTGTATTTTCATTTCCCCAGAGCATGTATACAGGCTGGAAACGCTGCTATTCTGGGTAACTCTCCTGTGGTTTTTCCCTTAGACAAGGCAGGTGGAAGAGATGGCAGAAGCAAGGGCAGAAAGAATGAAACAAGAAAATGCGGTTTGCAATAGATACTTTCAGAAAATGAAAATGGATGGTGACCTGGGGTCAGTATTAGAGGTATGTGCATCATTCACACTAGTTGAACTGCATATTGGAGATTTGTACCAATTTTCAGATGTGGTGAATGGGCACTTAAGTTAGGAAGCCTGCTTGTTTTTTCCTGGCTCTTGTTATGACAAGGGCTTAACCCTCTCAGCAAGCAGAGTCTGGCTTTGAGACTGCAGTTTAGGCTTCAGGTGCTGCACTGCTTTTGCCTCTCTGGACTGAGGGAGGAGTCTGCAGGTGGGGTAGTTAGTGCCATGTGTCTTGGCCCATTGACAGTTTCATCCAGACATTACAAAATCTGCTAGTGATCATGTTCAGGGCTCTAACAGGCCACTTTTCTAAAGGTTAAGGAATTGTTTACTCCCAATTACAAGTCTTAAAGTAAATGCTGTTGGTGGTAGGGATAATATATATGTTACCTCTGTCTCATACCCTGAGCCAGGGTTCTCTAATAGGATCTGAGCTCAGTACAGCCTGTTTCACTCTGAAGCATTGCCTTCTCAAGGCAACAGCAGCAGGAGAACCAGGCTTGCTTCTGTAACAGACTTAGAGCAGGCAGTACAATGCATAAGTAAGGGCTGTGCTTTTGGTTGCATGTTGGTGTGGGGTTCCTTTTTCCCTCCACTTCAGTGGTTCATGCCTTTGCAGAATTACTGTGTTTACTTCAATTTAAGACTATATATATTTTCTCCATTCAATTTGGGGGGAAAAAGCCCCTTGTTGTAGATTGAGTAACGCTCCACCCCTGCTCCATGCCCATTTACCTCACGGCTCCTGCTGGGCCAGGGCAGGGAGCATAGAGCATGTGCTGCCTCAGCCACACAGCAGTGGTGGCAGCTCTGCTCACAAGACTGAAGCTGCCACCACAACAGCTGCTGCGTGGCCCCAGCAGGAACCGGTGCTGAAAAGGGAAGGTAAGAGGGGAAAACTAGAACAAAATTATAATATCCCATGCCTAGAATCTATTCAGAGTCATCTTCAATTCAGGTAAATGATGATGTTACTGTGTAGAGGGCAGCAGGAGTACCTGACAGCCTGTACTCACACTCCAACTTATTAATACTTACAAGGGCACTAAAGTAAATCAGGAAGAACCTGCTAACCACCAGTAAAAAAAAAAAAAAAGGAAAAGAAGTTTGAAAGGCAGGAATCTCCACTTCTGATAATGGGGGAACTTCATACTGAAATGGCATGACACAAATTCTCACTGTAACCACCAGTGCTTGAAGCAGTGAGATCTTTGCACCCAAAACCTATGTGAAAAGCTCTCCTGAATGTGCTCTTGTGCTTACAATAGATAATTTTCCATTTAAGGCTTTAAATGTAATAGGACAGTAATATATTAGATATTTAACAGCTTGTGTTTGAATCTGCAGCCTTCAGCAAAGAGAGCTTGTCATTCACCCTCCGAGGAGCAGTATAAGTCAGCAATAGGCACAGCAGAGGGGGCACTGGAAGCTGTGAAGTTGCTGCTGCAGAAAGGACCACCACCTGCTTGGCTTACAGTGAAATTAGAGGCTCTACAGGCAGCTCTAGCCAGCTTAAGAGACCATGTGGTAAGAAACTGAAATGTGTTTAGACATTAAACTGCACAGCTGGCAGAGACAGTGCCACACCAAGATCCCAGCTGAAAAAACAAACAATCTAAGAAGGAGTTACTGTGGTGATAAACTGGTACAGATTAAATGTTTCTTCAGTTTGTCCTCTGTTAAATTGCCTCATTAGTGTTAAGGGGTGGTGACCTGCCTTCCACATTCGTTGGCTAAACAGGCTAACCTATTCTTGTGTTGTGTGAAGGAGCTTATGTTTCATGCTGTTGGTTGCATATAGAAGACAGTGTTTTAACTGCTGCAAATTGAACTGACAAGTTTAATAAGGTTGTCTTCAGTGTAATAAGGTGTATGAATTTTTTGTAAGAGAAAATTAATGGCTACAGCAGTTGCCCTGCTATGTGTACAGGTAGAGGGTGGTGACACTTTTTTAAATTAAATTGTTAACAATGTGTGTGTGAACACTGAATGTTTTCAAATGTATAACTTAAGGTTTCATTACCTCAGAGAATACATACCTTAGCTGCTGTTCCACTCCAACATTCATCTTTTGAAAATACTCTTTATTGGTCAGGTTTAAAGAGGAGTGGATTTTGAGCTGCGATACAGTTTGTATCAAACACTCCCTCCATTAACAGTCTCCTAGCAGCACAGCATGTAAACAGAAATAAACAGGTCATCCAGGTACCCAGTAGAGTCAGTCTAAAATGATTGCCTTTTGTACCTGAAAAGTCAAAGCCTTTTTCTCCAAAAAAAGAAAAAGTGGTACAAACAGGAACAATTTAGCTCAATTAATTCAATTTTCATTTATTTTCAAGAGTTTTCCAAAGCACTGATGATTCCTGGAACATAAGGATAAATTCCCTCTCCTCCTCCAGTAGTGTGTTGGTACCATTACACAGACCCTTGACACTGTTCTTCCCACAGCAGTGCTATGCACCTTCCTTGTACATATGGCTTGAGCACAGGCCTTAACCTCACTATTTTGGCACAGGCTGGAAGAAAGAGCATCCTGTTGCAGGCAGTTAGGCTGCACTGGGGTCTTACTGAGTGCTGGAGCAAGTGCCTCTTCCTGGTAGTGGTGGTGAGGTATTGATCCATAATAGTCTGGAAGCAGTGACTCTTCCTGGAGAATCTGATAAGTCACAGAAAGCTCTTGCCTCCACCTGTCCTTCACCAGTTAGTGTCATCCTCCCAGTTCAGCTCTTCCTCTTCATCCCAGCCTGCAGCATCAGCCTACAATTACATAAGAACCATCATTAAGGACTTATTGTACTGATGTTCTTGAGAACACTTACATGACAAATATACATGATCATCTAGGTCATGAAAAACCGTGCCACATGTTTGAGGCCCAAAGACCAATTATTAAAGAAGCCTACCCCACCAGGGTGCAGTTTGAAGCAGTGTTGAGTGTTCAACTCTGATCTCATCTTTGGTTTATAGAAGGCTGAGAGCAGCTGGAGCTCTACCCCTCATGTTAAATAAGCAGTGTCATGCATCTATTTCTGTGCCAGTCAGAAAGCACTTGCTAAGGGAGAAACAGACATTCCCTAGAAGTAGCAATAGTTACTGCCACCTCACAAGACCAAAACTGTTACCATCTGCAGCTGCCACTCTTCTTTGCAGGTAGAGGAAGATTGTGAATTGAAGATTTACCAAGCCCTGCATCCTGTCTCACACACATTCCACAAGGAGAAAAGTTGTGCCCTCATTCTAAGAAAGCCCCACAGAGAGAGAGAGCGCGGAAGGGAAATTAAAAAAGGGGTTACAGCTTCATCAAGGATGACCCTTGCTCGTCAACACAATGCAACAGTAAAGTACCCTCAGGTGGCAAAAAGCTTTTAGGAGAAAGTCAGCCATCCCTTCTTTCCAGAAGGGAGCTGTTTATCACAACTTTAAAAAGAACACAGCTGGGTTTTAAAATGCAAAGCTAGTATAGGAAAGATGCTTCAGATCCTTATAAGGGAGAGAAGAATGGTTTTGCACAGTCAGGAGCCTGCATGCTCCTGTAGCTTTGGCTAGTGAATCAAGCTAATCAACTAGGCTGCATAGGTGTACTGACTGTTGCTTCCTGACCCCTCTCTTGCTCCTGCAGTTTCGTGGAGAACTACCTACAACAGAGCTCTGCACTAAAATTTTTAAAAAGGTGTAGGGGGAAGCTTTTAGTTGCCTTTACTTCTAAAGAATAAGCCCACCAGAAAAAAGTTAACATTTAAATATTATGCCTCCTACACTGAACCCTTCCACTGCACTTCAGCTTTCACAGTAAAACTACCAAGGCAGCAAATGACAACCAGCTCTTGGAGGTTCCCTGTCTAGATTTGAACCTATGAAATAGAGGAGAAAGGATTTAATAACCCCCCTTTCTGGTCCTCAATCCTTAAGCCATCCTGCCTGTTAGTTGGAAAGACCCTGCATTTAGGTCACATTATACTCATTAGTTGTGTGCGCCTCATAGAATGAATAGTATCTGCAGCTACAACAAGTCTATGAAAATCAACAGAGTATCTGATGACTTAAAAACCTCTTCCGAAGATAACTGATAGGCAGACAGAAGCACTAATTTTAAGCACTTATTATTCTGCATCCAAGGCCTTACTAATGGCTTCTGACTGAGAAGCAGCAGTGGGCTCTGCAGAACCTGCATGTGGTATGTATCCTCAAAACCACTCTTTTTCTTTTAAAACTGTACTGTTACTCAGTATTCCCCCAGTCCTCACCTCAGTAACTTCAATTGCTGCAAATTTGGATGAGAATGGCATGATCTGGGAGACTTCACTGTTGGAATCTGTATCTATGTGACTGGGACCAATTGATTCTGTCCTCAGTTCAGGTAAAAGCAAGAGTGCTGAAGATGGTTTAATGTCTGGGATCATGTCAGCAAACCAGTCCAACTCAGGGTCTCGCACTGGTTTCCTCTTTACTTGGATAGTGAACTCTTCTCCTAAACCAGTTTCCACTGCAGACTTTGGCCTCTCCTGAAGTGTTTTTGGCAACTCAGTAGTTTTTCCCAGCTGGTCTGGGTGCTCCCAGTTGTCATTGCTCCAGCTGTTCACAGGGGTGGACTTCAAGGGAGGACTCAGTTTGAGGCTTCTGGATTCTTTGCTCAGTTGGAGGATAGGAGGAAACAGTCTGTGCCCTGTAACTGCATCAGGTGTCACATCGAGGCTGTTCCCTGAGGACAGTTCAGGTTTGGGGCTGCTGGGTTCAAAGTCATCCCAGGGTTCCTCATCTGCATTATGTTCAGCAAAGTAGGGGCCAGCACTGCTGCACGGTTCTCTTGTTTGGATCTGTATGTTCACAGTTTTGTCAGTCTCTGTGTCCTCAGACTCGCTCCAGTCTGGCCACTCCTCTGGCAGCTTTTCAGAAGTACTCAAAATGCTTCTGCTGTTCCCCAAAGCATTAATTCCCTCAGGCAATCCATTCAGGGACAGCAGAGGGTCTTGCTTGCCTGGAGAAGACACAAACATTACATACTAGTGTCATAATCCCCTCATGAAATGAAGTTGTACTTAAAACTCCCAGTACCCTGACACTGCTTGACCGAGGAATATCCCAGCTTGGAGACTATCACTGCAACTATGGTCCGTATAGCTAGCATCCCACCTCCAACAGAGAACTATGCAAGCTTCTTCAGTGCTGGGGGGGGGGGTAAGGAAAGCAGTGGAGCAAGTGTCTCTTGCATCATAAGCTGTGGCTAATTTTCAGCCTAATACACAAGGGTTATTCACCTTGGAACATTAACTAGAACTGACAAGTGAGCCAGAGCAGATGAGCTGAATGAAGCTTCAGGAAAACTTGTATTTTATGGACATTTGATCAGCTTGCTGAAGACCAAGTGTATGAGCCATGGCAAATGTAACATCTAGCTTAATGGCAAGACGACAGGGCAGCAGTTCTAGCATTGTACCTATCTAACCCAGGGGCAGCCAAAGTCCAGCCTACAGGCTGTGTACCTGGTCAGCAGTAGACTCCATTTCCCAGCAACCCCTGCCCATATGGCTGGGGCTGGTTTCCATGGAGACCCCAGCAGCAGCCATGCTTATAGGGGGGCCAGGGTTTCCATGCAGGCTGGCCCCAGCAGTGCTGGCAAGCAGCAGAGGCACCAGCCTCTTCCTGGGGGGAGCTGTGCTGCAGGCAGCAAGAGGTGGAGCTGCTCCACAGCCAGACTGGGATGTTGCAGCAGTGACAGCGTGGTGTGGAGCTGGAGCAGAGCTGCAGTCTGCAGATCAGCTCTAGACCATGCTGTTACTGGTGCAACATCCCAGCCCAACTGCAGAGCAGCTCCATGCCCTGCTGTAGGCCCTACCAGCACTGCTGGGGCCCATCTCCACAGAAACCCTGGCCCTTTGCTATCACAGCACAGCTGCTCCTGGGGTCTCCATGGAAACCAGCCCCAGCCATGTGGGCAGGGGCTGCTGGGAAATGGGGTTTGGCCACTGGCCAGATCCACCATTTTGCCCACCCCTGATCTAACCTCCAATAAAAGGGCTAGTGGATTTGACGGGGTGTGAGGGGCAGGAAGAGACCTGCCCTTGCAAATACATAGCAATAGTCCTTTCTTGGCCAGCAGTATCATTGCTTACTCCATCCTGACTATCTGCTTGTCAACAGAACACCAAGGAGCTCCCTCCTGTACCATGGCTATTCAAGTCAGCTACAACTGTGCTCAGAGGCTGCATGTTTACTTCACATATTTCCCTGCACTCTTCCCAGTCAATTCTATCTAACAATTCACTTCACCGCAACAGGCTGCTCTGAAAAAAAATCATTTTTAAAATCATCATCTTCCATTGCTCTGTAGCCCTTTCAAAGCAAGCAGGTGGAGGTACCCCCAACTAGCAAACGTTTCATTACTGTTAAGTAGTAAGGACTGTCTAGGATGAAAGCATTGTTGGAGAAAAACTTACTCATCTTTAGGGCCACATGAGTGTCTGATCTTGATGGATATTTCTTGCTGCCGATGGGCACGTTCTCAGAGATGGGGCACTTAGGATACACACTGGAAGAGTTCTTCTGTAGGGGCTGGGACAGCTGATTTTTTTGATTGCTCAAAATGCGAACTGGGGAGTCTGCAGGGATACAAAGCAATATAAATGATGCTGTTAGCTCCACTGTTGTGACCACTCCTGCCAATTAAAGGTACATCATAGCGCTCCATTAGCTTTCATTGCTAAAATGAAGCCTGAGTTGGCCCAGATAATTTTAAACACTCAAGCCACTACCTTTTACAATACAGAAGTGCAGCCCATCATGACTGTTAGCCCCAATGTGCAATGGATTTAAGCAACACTCAATCAAAATGAAGACTTGCAAGTAGAGGTTTGTAGTGCCACAGGCTGCTCTTCCAGCTTCATCCAGAAACTGCTCCATTTTCTGCAGTCTGGGGGCATTCAGGCTGCTGGCAAATTGGTAGTGCAGCACTCCAATTCTCTTAAATGGAGGGCCTGGTGCTTTGCAGATCCCTGTGTGAATATAGCTGAAATTGTGGCACTTTCAAAAAGTCATTAAATGAAATAGCAAAATCCATGTCTGGATCTTATTAGACCGAAGACAATAAATGCTCTTTGTTTAGCCACTGGGCTTCTCAACACCAGTTTCTATACTACACAAAAGGTAAGAAAGATACCAGTGACACTCCCTTGCCCCTCCTCCCCTGGCTCCTATCCCTGCTGAACGCACGCATGTATGCAGAACAAACCCCTACGTGCTTCCCTTAGGCTTTGACAAAGCAGCTTGCTGGAATTGAATGAAAGAAGAGTTTTAGGACACAGCAACAGGTAACGCACTAATGGCTCCTGCACTGTCGATACAGGGGCACTAATAGCTACTGACCTGTTGATGCAGATCATCAGCTGCATTGCTCCTCTAGATTTTACAAACTTGCACAGTAAAGCTTTAACCCAAGAGGGCCATGACAATGCCTGCTCCATGGTAGACAGCGTTCTCTATCTGTGGTCCAACCAGGGATCACAAAATGGAGTGGGTGGGGGTTACATTTGTACTGTGACCATGTAACTGCTCAAGTGCAATACCCCAATGTAACATGTTTTATCCTAGTGCAGTTTGATTTGTCTCAGTGCCATTTACCCCAGTTCCACTGATGTCACCTGCAGTTTGCTGGTGGAAACAGAGTGTATGCTGGGGTCTGTATCAGTGGAGCTAGAGAAGGCTGAAGAGTACCTGAGGGACAAGGCCTACAATTCACATCAAGGAAACCAATTAGCTTCTACATTTTTATTGTAAAGCCAAAACAGGTAATTTACAAATGGTTAAAATGTAACAAAACTCCTAGACACCTACTTCTTCCCTACATTTAACAGCATCTGTTCCACAGTTGGGTGCAACTTATTAACAGGAACCAACTCTGAACAGCTTTTAACTAAACTCACCAAACCACTCTGAACCCCTTTAATTAAAGGGAAGGTTGTAACTTTGCTGGTGCACAGTTGGTCCCAGCCTGGGCTTTCAACAGCAAGTTCATCTGTTCTCTTCCCCCCTCCCCCCTCTCCCTTAAGAATTTCACTGATAAAGCTTGCTGCCAGAGCAATCTGTTGCTAATTGTGCTGCTCCGGTGCTATTCTTGTAGATTAATTTCACTGCTAAAACTGATGATTTTTCAGGAGTCCAAAAAGTCTGAATTTGTTTAAAATATGGATTCTGGATGTTTTTTAATGTAAATACATTAAAAAAATAAGAAACTCACTTAAAATGAAATGTAGGCTATAGATTGTCATTTTACATTTACTATGCTTTATTGAAATCATTTAAATAAATAAAAAAAAGTGCTTGGTGACCTGTCCACAAATTTTAATAGGTTTAAAAGTGCCTTTTTCCATTACATACAGAATCAGGGAAAAAGTATCTAACTCTTAAGGTGAATTTAAGCTCTAAGGGAGATGCAATGTCACATGTTGCAGTAGATTTCTTTACTACTTTCAGTCTTCATAATGCAGCGAATGAAGTTATTCCCATTTTTCCAAACGTAACTATTCTCAGCAACTGTTCCTGCAGAAAAGCTTTTCCCTCATTTACTAGAGAATATTTTCTTCATTTGGACTAGTTCAAACGTCAAAAACTGGGGAGCAGAAAGAAGTAGGAAAGTTCGTTTTCCTCATCCAATCTATGAATGAAAAACCAGGTGGTAGAAGATGAGATCTACTGGGTTAAGAAACAAAAAGACACCAGGCCAGATTTTTCAAAGAGATTTAGGTGCCTAAAGATGCAGGTAGATGTTTAATGGGGTTCTCTCAAAAGTGGGTACTAAACAGTTCAGCTACTGTAGTCTCATTGAAATTGAAGGGATGTTGGTGTCTAACCTCCTTAGGTGGTTTCAGGTATCCCACTAGGCACCTAGCTGCATCCTTATGTGCCTAAACACGTTTGAAAAATCTGTCTCCTGATGACTAGAACCAATCCATCTATTTACTAATGAGGTATTATGCTTCCTTGATTGAGGGTAGCAGTCGGTAACATTTTCAGGTGACAGGCCAGAAGGGCCCAGCTCCTGTACAAGGAAAGCGCCTTGCTGCCCGGTGTGTAGTGCACTGCAGTCAAAGCCTCCAATGCCAAAGCCCCAGCTCTGTGGGCCGGATTCAGTGGCTCCCTGGGCCAGATCCAGCCTGCAGGTTGCCAACCCCTGGTTTTAAAGGCTTATTTTTAAATGCAAAACTGGCTTATTTTTTCTAACATACGCAATATATTTAAGGTTGCTTTGACTAGTACAAATCAATTTTAACATCAAATTCCTTTACATGTAAGTGAATTCCTATTTCCATCCAAACAGTTTGACACAAGTCATAAGTAAAAATCTCATCATTGATAAATGAGTCACTTCATCATCTTCTAACCTAGCAAAAATAAAATAGCTGAGGGGAATTTATGCAGCTCCTCATCTAAAAGATTTAATAGCTTAATTGTCCAGATAGACTATAATTCTGGTTAGCAAAAAAGAAATATCAAATTTAGCATCAAGGCAAATCACCACAGGTTAATGATTATTCTAATGACAAACCTCTTTTTAAGGGGAAAAAAAGAATTCAAATGCTTTTGATTTATATCACTATTAAAATCTGCAATTTCAAATCACTCCAGTCAGGTTGAGAAGAGGCCTTCACAGACATTAAGCTTAAAGACCATGAGGGACTTGCCTTGGAGTCCACGGAATACACATAAAATTGGATGGCACAGATAGATCCTGGAGCCTGGGCTCCCAAATCCTTCTAGTATTTACCTACCATCTGGGGAAAGGTCCGTAGTTTTAGTGAAACTTGGTACAGAGCGCTTGAAAATCTTGCTTCTTTCGCCACCTACAACCACCTCAGGTCCAAGCAGAGAGACCAGGACTGCTAAGCTGTGCAATGTTATTGCCACAATGTTATCACTAGAATCTCGAAGGCCCAGTAAAACCTAAGACCAGAATACAAGAAGACTATTAGAAACACAGTAAGGATTCCAAGCCAGTTTCTCTTTAGCTCATCCGTTAGAGTGGTATGTCTGCAGCATGATTTATTTTTAAAATCATCACCTTTCACAGTTCATCCAAAGTTCCTAATGTGAAACACTATGCTGGGGTAAGAAATTAATCTTTCACTCCACAGCTGGGTTCAAATTCTAGCTTATGTTACACATTTAAATAGCTGAGCGCTTAGCCCCCAGTGAAACTGGACTGCTTTGCAAAACTACCTAGTAGTTTGGTGCAGTTCAGCATGGTCAGCCATCTCTGCTCACAAGACACTTTGGACTGAAATGCTGGAGCAACGAAGTGGGGATGCAATGCATGATCATGAATGGAGATGTTGCAAGTCAGTGTTAACACATAGCGACAGACTTATGAAGGCATGGGTCTATGATGGGAACAACAAAGGAGTGCTCTGAATCAGGATTTGTGTATACTGGTGGCTTGGCTTGAGACCGGAACAGCAAAATGTGTTTCAAGTCAGAATTGAGGTATGCTGGCAGAGCTGGGGTGAGGACAGGAATAGCAAGAAGTATTTCAGATCAGGCCCATGGGGCACTGGCAGAGCTGTTAGCCAGGGGATGGGGAAAGGAAAGCTGGATGCTGGGAGTGAAATAAACAAAGGGTACTGCACATCAGGCTTGAGGTGCATTTGGAAGAGTTGGAGTTTGGGGAAAGCTTACAGAGAAGTTGCCCACACCGTGCTTGACTGCAGCCAGGACTATGAGATCTTTACTTTTAACAAGAACAGAGTTCATCCCCGCAGTGTAATTCCCCACATTTGATACATCATGTACAGTCCTGTTGCCTCTCATCCTTAACCTGTGGCAATATGATGTTTTTCAATTCATCCCGTGTGAACAATTCTGCATAGGTATCGATGTGAGACAGCAACACCATTCGAACATGCTCCTCGTGAACCTCAAACAGCTTCAGCAGCACAGGGATGACATGAGTCTGGAACAGGGCTGGTGAGAGCAGATAGCTTGTGTGGCAGTCTCCAATATTATCTAGGGGAAAGAGTTTGAAAACAGGACAAATAGCTTCCCACACCAGACATAACTTACATTGAGTTAAAGCTACTCAATTAAAATACGCTGCAGCCAGCAACTTCTAGGGCCAAGATTTATATTGTCACCCAACAGCCAGATTTGATTCTCAATCCAGGTCCCTCTTTGGGTCAGCCAAAACTGGGAACTGCAGAAGCAGCAATCTTGAGGAATAAGGTTGGGGAGGAAGGCTTTGTTCTTCAAGGGCAATCACTCTAAATAATTAGTGTCAAATGAGCCCCAATGAAGAATTCTACACAAGAGGGAACAAGCAGCAGGGACAGGAGATCTTCAGGAATCTAGCAGGGAGAAATTAAGTACTCCTAGCAGGGGGCCAAATGATCACCCTAAGAGGAAAAAAGTTGCCGCATGCCAACTTGCCAGCTCAAGCTAGGGCAACTTTGTTCTCTGCAAGAGTGTTAGGATAGGTAAACGGTGAGAAAAGGATACACACTGTGGTGCTGTAAGCAGGCCCCATGCCCCACCATCCCAGAAGGGGCCATTTATAGCAGCATGGAAGGAATCCAAGCAATTGCTAATCCCCTTTCAGCAACAGGAGGAAAGCAATATCACATAAGAGCAGTGGAAAATTTAGCAGACAAACCAGGGGACCTCACATCCTTCAGCATCTGGAATGACACACAGTTTTCTTTGGTACTTTACCATATAGTATTACCTTGGCTTAAACACCAAATGAAAACCTTTGGTCAAAGGCACTACTCTGAATTCACTCCAAATGTGTCAGTGTTAATTCTGGGGAGAGAATGTTCAAAGGTCACCTTTCTTTGGACCTAGCAGATGAGGAAGGAAACTCTTGACAGCTACAGGCTCAGCAAACACAAGCTGATTGAGTAAAAGAGGCACCAGCCGCGAAGCTATCAGCTCTTCTGACAAGCAGGCCACTCTATCCAGCAGGAATCTGTATTCCAAGAAAGAGTAATTAGTATTAGGGAAGCTTTTCGTTGAACAATTTATGACACGGTTTCAAAATGAGTTTCCCTTAAACATCCTTTTCTCCTTGCTTTGTCTGCCCTGTTTGCCTAGAACAATGGAGTCCAGGTCCTGATCCTAGTCTTAGTTTAGGCCAGGGGTGGGCAAAATATGGCCCAGGCACTTTCATCTGGCCCATGACATCCCCCAGCAAATTGCACCCCACCCAACTGTTCCGCCCACAAGAGTGGAAGTAAGGCGTCCACATGTACAACCGCCCAACACGCCCTATTAGGCCTTGCTCCCACCCTCTTGGGCACAAGGGCTCTGCCCAGCCAGCAGCTTCCAGGTGGGGCTTCTGCTGCAGCCGGAACCTGCTCGCTCAGGGCAGCAGGTAGGGAAGCAGTGGGGCTGGTGGGGGGGTGAGGGGCTGGAGTTGCAGCTCAGCAGAAGCAGGAATGCAGCACAGAGCCTCTGGCCAGAGGGGCAGCAGGAGCATGTAGTTCAGCTGGGCAGGGTGTGGATGTGAGTGTGTGTAGGGGGGTGGGGTCCCCTACCCATGGCATGCAGCCCCTGCTGCCTGGCAGCAGCAGCAGGTGGCAATGTCAGGGTGCTTGCGCCTGGTGCAGACATGGCTCTGGCCAGCATTGCGCAGAGGGAGGGAGCGGAGCCTGCCCCATCACCGGGGCTCCATGTCTGCAGCTCCAGCACTCAGCGGGGGAAGCCCCACACTGGAGACAGCTGCTTCCCCTGCTCCCTGCTGCGCAGTCCTCACACTGTGCTGGGAGTGGAGGAAGCTTCCCCACAGAGTCCAATGCAGGGCTTCCCTACTGCAAGTGTGTAGCCCCTGCGACAGACACGGCCAGTGTTGTGCTGGGGGTGAGGAGCGCACCCTGGCGCAGCCTGCCTGGCCGCTTCTATGGCAGGGGCTCCACATTGCAGGCTTGCAGCTCCGTATTCACATCAGTGCTGACCCAGCCTGTGACAACTTGTCAAAACTCCCTATGTAGTCACCAGGCCCAATAATTGCCCACCCCTGCACTAGAGTGTTAGAGCTTTCTTCAGAACTTTTTTACAAAGGCCTGAGGGTTTTTAAATACAGAAAGGAGGGGGAAAAAAAACCACACTGACTGACTCTCATTCTTTTTCTAGGCCCAGTATAATGTCCTGACCATAATGCAGCATCAACTTAGCTAGCTAGAAAGTGATTTTCAATCTTAGGTCCTTCCGTACACTTACCAGTAGCATGATTACAGCTGCAATACCCATTACAAAACCATTTTTTATGCTTATAAAATTTACCAAAAACTTTAACCCCTTAGGTGGAAGTTTTCCAAGCCAGTCGTCTCTCAGGCTGAATTTTTTTGTGGATAATTTTGCCCAAACACTTTTGAGAATTAAGCTAGCAGTCAACGCATTGTTTTACTATGTCAATTCTTTTTTTTAACAAGCACTAGTACCTTGCGGTTTGGAATAGAACTTGAAAGTTGGCATTGAAATAGCTTTTGTGTTATTTATGAGACTACTGTCCCTCTGAAATCTGCCCAAATTTAACAAAGATATAGGCTTCTGCAAAAAAAAAGTGCAGTTGGCACATGCTCATTAAGGCTTTCTTAGAGTTTCACTGCCAAATTCTTCAGATTCCATCCATGCTCAGCATGCTGCACCCCCCCCTTACAGCACCTAGTGCAGTGGTTCTTAACTTCTTAGACTCAAGGCACTGTTGGAAAATGCCAGCTCTTAGCTTTGGTTCGTTTCCTGACTACAGAAAAACAAATAGAGCAATTTTTTTGTTGCAAATAATTCAGAAAGACCATACCAGGTAAAAAAGTTTTTGACTCTATGGATTTTTATTTGAAATCTCTGGGTTTATCTGTGAATCAAGTGTACCTTGATTAAAACAAACAAACAAACAAAGTCACTGACCTACAGTACCACCCAGACTCTGCGCTTCCATCCCCACACAGTGAATGAGCATGGTGGTAAAACTGGACACTGTACAATGGCTATTCCAGGCTGAGGTGGGTCTTAACACTGGGAATGAGAGTAGAGAACCCATCTCTTTCATGGTCTCAATGCTCACATCCATCCTCCTTGCTGGGTCAAAGAATATGGCAAAGGATGACGCCTGGCATATACAGAGGGGACAAAAGCCATCTTGGTGGGGAGAAGTAGGCTGGGAAAAGGAGATTTGTGAAACTGGGACTAGAAACTGACAGTGTAATGGTAGGTTACAGCTTGGGACTGAAGCTGGGGAGACTGGGAATAGCTGAGCAAGGTGGAAAAGGGGACATAGATTGCCTGGGGATATAGAAGGAGAAAGGAAGCCAGGACTGGTTGAACAATGACACTGAGAAACAATAAGACTGTAGCCAGGGACAAGTTGAAATAGATCTGATCTGGGAGACCTTGGACTCACCAGATCAGGAGACTAGGACATGGTACATAATTAGAGGCCCTAGGTAGATGTAAGACTTGATAGCCAAGGAGCTGAAAGCTGACCTGGAGACAGCCTGGAGGAAGAGCCTGAGGCCATCTCAGAAAGGACAGCATCCTCTCCAATCAGTAAGTATCAAGGAAACCCAGTGACAAGGTATGCATCTCATCCCCACTAGGGCTGACCCAAGAGGATGACAACCCCACCACTGCTATCATTCTATTAGCTCAAGTGGCAGAAGTCCATGCAGATGTAAGGTTTGCAACGCTGCTGAGAAACTGAGTGACTGTGATGCTACATGATGGAATTTGTTTTATATTTTTTTCCAATTTCCTTTTTAAAGAAGCCAAGAAGACATTAAACAGAAGATAAAAAACAAGGTTAACCATTTAAGAAAGGAAACACAATTCAGTCACCTTATGTGCATACATTATGATAGTCTAATTACAAAAGCATCTATTGTTTTTTCCACAGATTCATTGATTGTAAGGCCAGAAGGGACCTTGGAAGATCATTGGGTCCAGCCCCCTGCACCAAGCAGGAAAGATAACTGGGGGTCAGGTGACCCCAGCAAGGTGACCGCCTAGTCTCCTCTTGAAGATTTGCAGGGTAGGTGATTGCACCACCTCTTGAGGGAGTTTATTCCACAGTCTGGACACCCTCACTGAAGACGTTTTTCCTAACATTGAGCCTGAATCAATCTTCCAGGAGTTTGTGGCTGTTACTCCTGGTTTTCCCCTTGGGTGCCCTGGTGAACAGTTGCTCACTGGAGCCCTTGATGTAATCCCCTAGTGTAGTGGTAAGCTGTTACCAGGTCCCCTCTCAGCTTTCTTTTCCTCAGGCTGAAGAGTCCCAGATCCTTCAGTCTTTCCTCATATGACTTGCCTTTTAAGACTGATCATACGGGTGGCTCTTCTTTGGACTCTTAAGCTTGTCCACATCCTTGTGAAAGCATGGTGCACAGAACTGGACAGTGCAGAAACAAATCAGGATCCAAATTTTGTAGCCTGATCTGTCAGTGTGGATCCTGCACAGCTCCAGTGAAGTCAAATGGTACATGGGACCCAGTTGAATAAAAAACACACTTTAGGATCAGGAACAATTTTTGAAAACTGTTTTGGCTAAAAATTCTCACTGTAGAGAGCAGCTTGGATTTAGTTCCTTAAATGAAATACATGACAGAGAACAGATGTTCAGGCCTCCCTCCCTCTTCCTCTGCAACAAAAAATGCTACCAGGATGCTACAAAATATTCGTTTTTCAAGTGACACCAGACAATTAAGTCTCTCCTTCACCCTTCCTATGCCAAACAAGTTACAGTTGATTTCCAGTTGTATCTCATGGACAATAAGAAAACTTGCTTTTTCATACCCCCACTGCCTATGATAAAGCAACTACCTTTAGTTTTGCGTAATTTCACGAGTTCCCAATCGGGCCTCTAGAAAACACTGAATGTTTCAGAAAATATGTTTGAGATAGCTACACTACACTATTGTCCTGTTTTCTAGTCAGTTCACAGCAAGCAACAGGACCAATTTCTATACAACGAAAGTATTTGCTGATCACCTACTTGTATACCCACAGCTGTGGGACTGTCACATCACAACCGAGCGATCGGCATTGTGCAGAAAGTTGCATAAATGTTTTTAAAAAAACCTGAAGCCATGCAGAAGCAAAACCACACAGCGAAGGTGGTAATGAATACTTACTGACTGATGCCAGCACTGGATTTGCTTACCATGAGCGAGATATTAAACCAGAGCACAAAGGTGATGAAGTGTGTAAAAGGTTGAAATCCACAACAGAGGAAGCATCCACCCTAAGACCAATAACTGGGAATGTCTACTAGACACAAAACAGCATTGTGCAGGGATAACACCAAGCTAGTTCAGGTACCAGAGCAATATAGCCATGTTAGCATGGCACTGCCTGGGCTTGGCAGCTATACTGAGAACTGAGCATATGCAAATCACTATTAAAACTGACCCTTCTCTGAAAAAGAAAGCAGGACAAGTTAGCCTGGGAACAGTAGTATACTAAAGCTATATTGCTTTGTTACTCAAGCTACCTTGGATATGTCTGCAGTACTGCACTGTGCCATGTAGACACGTCCTGGAAATCCTGCTGAGACCTTAGCTGGAACATGATCAACATTTTCTCACATGAAGGGCCCCCAGAAAGACTGAAGTTCTTTCACTTACTTGAAAAATTCAGTTTTCTCCTCTTCTGTCTTTACTGTTAAACTTTTCAGAAAGTTCACAACTTCTAGGAAATCATTCCTAACCACAAAAATAAAGACTATGAAGCATCACCAAGAATTTTAAACTGAGCAACCTCCTATCTTTTATTCACCAGATGGAGGAAGACAGCGGAGCTTAAATGAGTGATATTGGACTAGGAATGTTGGAGTAAGTCTCAGCTTCTTATTTTCTATCCCCACCAATATGTTTCAAAATCCCACTGCAATCATTTCTAGATGGGAGAATTCAATCTCTATTGCTCATTCTATTCTTAGCCTCTCTTGAGGCTGATGGAGACAAGTAAAAGCACGTGTAATACAAGCATCTGTCCATTAAGAATAGGAGTGATATCAAAAAGTAATTTCCTCAGCCTGCTTGTTAGTCTTCAGTCAGAATTCAATGATGCCATGATTTTGAGGTCAGCAATTTGCAGCATCAAATGGGAAAAGCTACATTTGCAATCTCTTGAGCTAGTTACTGCATTATGGTGGGAAAAATACATGTCCTTCCTGGGACAATATTGATATCCTTAGACCACAACACACTGAGGGCAATCTGTGCAAACAGGTAGTAAAGCTGGATTTAAGGCAAACGTACTTTGAAGAGTCTTGTTTTCTAGGCCATGCACTACCCCCACCCACAAAATGAGGAAGACTCAACTGGGTATAACCAAGAGGGTTGCTGTTTTTCAACAAACCTGCTCCAATTTCAACACCCCACTGTGAATGAGATGAGGCTTTTTACATTTGAGACGCTTTACCAACACATCTGTCTGAGCACAGTAAGTATAGGCCATACAACAGGCAACTTTCTGACTGCTAAATGAGCCTAACATGGGGAGTGGATAGTTGATCCTTCTAGTTTATCTCAGTGCTGTGCTATTAGCAAAAATGAAACTGACAAAGTCCCATCAATTTCAAGGCTGCTATTAAGGGGGTCGAATAAAGTAATAAAACTTAATGAAGGGTGGGCAGCTGTGAGCTGGCTGTTCCCACATGAATTAGTCAGCTCATTTAATTCACCTTAAGAGATGCTTTTAATACTGAAATCAATGCCCACCTTACCCATTAGTAGTGCCTACTTTTGGGTTGCTAACATCTTTGACTTTCTTTTTGGAGGTTTGTTTCATGTATGATACATGAAGTACAAACATAATTACAGAATAAAGTACTTAAGATGCTCATAAGTAACCAATGCATGCATTTACTCACCTGAAGAACTCATGAGACAGCAAGCTGGACAGGGGTGGACGGCACTTTGGATCTGGATTCAGCAGTGTGCAGTGCAAGGTTTGTTGAAAACTTGAGAGAATATCTGCTGAAACTGAAAGCCACACATCTTCCATTAAATTCCACTCCAAACATGGGGAACATGCAGGACTCAGAGATTCCTCCTTCCTTAGGTGGAAAATCATTATTTCTCAAATGCTGATAGGTAACAAAGCTTACCTACCATTGTCTAACAGCTATCATAAGCTTCTTCCTGTTTTAGAAACAGCATTTTTAACTCATCTCCCCTCGCCTGAGCCAGCCTGCTCTTAAAACATTTAGGAGCAAGCAGAGATAATGCAGTTTATAAAAGCTAGGCTTTCTCCTCAGCTTGATAAGATGACAAGAGTAGCTTCCTTTCTTCTCACCCTCCATCTGCCCTACTGCTTTCTAATTCAGAACTATAAAGATTTAATTATACTGAAGTTTCTATCTGATACCATTACAATGAAAGTCAAGTAAGTTTCTAGTCCGTTTAGCCACCATATAAAAAGTGTGCACAATGCAAGCATATAAAAGTAAAACAGAACTAAAATAATCTACTTATGCTCTTACAAGAGGCAGCATGGCCCAATATATTAAGCACTGTTCAACTTGGCAGAAGATTTAGGTTGTATTCCTAGTGTGGTTACTGGCTTTCTGTGAGACCATGGCCAAGCGGCTGGCCTCAGTTTGCCAGTGTGAACAATGGGATGAAGAAATTCATCCTCTGTAAAGTGCTTTGAGATCAACAGATAAGTAAGAGATAGGAGTTTATTGTTAAGCACAAGTGATCTTTCAATAAAAGTTAAAACACTGGAAATCTAAACTGGAAAGATCCCTTTTTTCTCCAGAACCTATGGGGCATACATAATCCATGGACTGAGGAAAAGAGTTTTACAGTATTAAAGGAGGATTTGATATTCACAGCAATGGGATATAGGAAAAACATTAAGGGATGTCAAACTTCATTCTTCAGGGCACAAGCCAACCCACCAGATACACAGGACTGGGAGAGAACTTCTATACAGTAGCTAAGGCAGGAAGGTCTGAGGCATTTGACATGAAAGGAGACAGAGGATCTTTTTAAGGGAAGAGAAGAGATAATGGAGTTCAGATGTACATCTGTCTTTTAACTTGATTAACCTAAAGATCTCCTACCTAACTGTAACATAAAACTTGTTCCTGCATCCAGTAACATGTCATTACACTATGTTACTGCAACTAAGAAGCACACAATATTAGGCACAGGAAAGTCTCACAACCTTTATAGTAATTTGCACTTAGGTAGTTCCTTTCATCTTAAAGCAGCTAAACAAATTCATCACCCACATTGTGCAAAATGGAGAAATTATGCAACTTACTTACAGCCATACAAAAGGGAAGTAAGATTCTGGAACAGAGCAGTTACCCCAACTGTTTAAGCTCCACACCAGCTACCGAACAATACTATCTCTCATATATATTATAAAGACAGCTTCCCACCCTACACACTGATTTCTGGTGTCAGAGTGAAACTTATTACAGCATAAGGTAGTTGGAACCCCTAGAAATCTCCAAGTCTATGAAAGCAAAGCATGAAACAGGAAGAACATGTGGATAGAAAAGTTTTTAATTCCTGAAATTCATAGCGAGTGCAATGGACAGTCCTTGATCGCAAAGTTTGTCACACTTCTCCTGGAACACAATTCCTCAAAATGAAAGATATTTTTGTTCATGCTTGAACACAATCAGCCACAGGATTACTTGGCATGGGTGGTAGCTAAATAAGGGCATTTTATTATAGGTCGTGGAGGAATCTCACCCTGATCATTCAAGATTGTCAGCAGATTTTCAATCATTGTTCCAAAGGAATAGGCATCTCGGGCATGTCCATGGCTTTCAGAAAGAATGCAGAAATCTGCAGACTAAAGAAATAAGCATCATATAGAAGGAGCTATACAATCTCCACCATTACCTACCATCCTTTCATTTTCCAAGTCTTTTCATAGCCCTGTAACTCCAACTTACTTTATTTGTAATGCACTATTATGCTAAACTAAAGGACTTTTGCCTCAAAGAATTTATAATCTAGAAGCACAAGTAAGTACATTACTATTAAACAATACCCTCAGGAATGCATTCAGCAATCATAAGCCAACAACTTTCTGTATTTCTATGGAAACCAATGTTAATCGGGGATAGATCTTACGCTCTATTCAGAACAAAGAGCTTATTATATTTTAAACATTCTAGTTGATTACTAGGGAAAAACATGGACATTAAGTGCAAAAGCACTATAAAATTATGTGGCCACAAAACAACCAATAATATCCGATAAGACCTTGGGTTCTTTAGATAGTCTAAAATGGAGTATACTGTTTGCACCAAGTTTTACATAAAAATGGTCACTTATTTAAAAAAAATTTTGAACATCTATTTAAGTGAAGCTCGTAATCTTTGATCTTTGAGCATCTGAGTAACAAACACAGATTTCAGTTTCAGAACTCATACTTTCTATGAAATTAAATAGTGCATAACTGGATTGTTCTTTGTGATGTAAAATTTACATAAACCACAATCTTCAAGAGGCCCTGATAGTGATGTTCAGGAAGCACTCTCTGCACATGAGAAGCAATATTTTTAATATATGAATTACCCACAGAACCACACCTGCCTATATTGGTCACATTCATTTCATAAAACTTAGTATAATCATTTCTGTTCTGTTATCTTTAGAATGATTAAAAATACTAACCCATACTTGCCTGGTATAGGATGATTTTCCAATTTTTTTAAAGTTATAAAATGACCAAACAGAAACAGTACATAATCTAACAAGCCATTTATTTAACACATGCACCCTATGGAAACAAAACAAAACCTAGGCAAGGAGGGGGGAGACAGTGGGAGAAGGTTTGTTTTTTTTTGTTGGTTTTTTTTAGTTAAAATCTGCCAAACATGGGATCAACCTAGGAGACCAAGGGTACAATAGCATGTGAGAGTAGCACGGCTGAATAAGCTCCGGTGCAGCTTGCACCAGTTTCTTGCTCCTGGGTTCAGTGTTTAAGTATGTGCCTAGGACTGCAGCACATTAAGCCACAGTGGCAGAGCCCCCCAGCTGGCAGAAGGACTGGTGGGGGTCAGCCTGCCAGCCTGGAGCTGCTCTGCCCCAGCTGAATGTGCTGCAGAGGGACTGGCTGGGGCACAAGGGTGCTGAAGTGCAGGGCTAGCTGGCAGCCAGGCCCTGCACTGCAACACCCTCGTGCCCCAGCCAGCCCTGGTTACTGTCTACACATACACTGTGGTGCACTAAACTCCACCATAGGACAGGATAATACTGCCCGACACAAGTACTAAGGCAGAGTTAATTAGTTTGTTCCGGCTTAACAGCACTGCATATGCAGATGGTGACACTTTAGTGTGGAGCTAATTAGTCAACTCCACAGTAAAGCGCACATGTAGATGCCCCCTGAAAGTAGTTCCTGAACCAATACAAAGACATTCACAATCACATCCCACATAAATCCAGTTGAATACAAAGTAGTTAGAAAAGAAAAACAGCATCAAAACTTGAATGCACAGGGCCTGAAGCCTAAATTCAATCACATACTGCTGTTCCCTGCAACTGCAAAACTGATCAATTGTGAGTATTTATTTGGGAAAAAGCATTTTACATTTACTTATCAAGAAAGAGGAAGTATAGAGCAACTATGTCACCTTTTTAAAAATGGGAGTTGCATGGAAGGCATATTAAAAAAAAAAAAAAGCATATCAACAGGGGTTGCAAAGCACCGAGCATTACTTATTTAAAAATATGGGCTGGGACAGAGCTACCAGATTATTCGCTGTTAGGGCTCTTGCTCTGTTCCTGGCTAATTCTGTTAAGACACCTCCGTCCCTCCTTTTAAGAATACCCTAGATAGGGATAGAATAACAGACTTTATTCTGGAGTTACCTAGGTAGACATACCCTCCACACCTAAGCATATAGATTTCAGGACTTCTATTTAACATATATCTAATAAAATAGTGTGTGTACTATTTCTTTAGGTTTATATTAAAACAGAAATCCTACATAATATATATAGATGAAAAATATTTTCTGAACTTCTGTGTTTAATCATCCTCCATAAAGAACACTCTAGCAAGAACAGAATCTTTTGCTAATTCTGTAACATAGCAGGGCTACTTACCATCTCTTCAGGAGGGATGCCTGCCTGGTCTCTCACTGATTTGATATCACACAGGAACTAGAAAGGTAAAAAAGAAAACTTCATGATAAATGTTTTGTCCTAATCACTTATCCAGATTCACAAATTGGTACCAGCATGTAGAAGATGAAACCTAGTAGCTATGACTGCTTTTTTTTTACTCATTAACTGCCTCCTCCACTGCAGGCCATACATGCCAAGGCCTGCTGAGACTAGCTGAATGTATAGCACAAGATTCTCCTTCCACCTCAAAGTCAAGAAGTAGCCATGCTTCACCTACCCCAGTGGGGAACTTTCAGGTATCTAAACATTGTGTGTAAAATGCCAAGAAGCCCTGAAGTAACTGCATTTTACCAGTTTAGCCCTTCAGATTTACAGTATTTATTTGATTTCTACATGAGATTTCCACCCCCCTCCACCACATTTAACATGACAGGAAAAACTCCTTCATCTTAGAATGAAGTAGGAGGTGGTGGGGAGGCCAAGCTGCTCCTGTGGCTCTAGCTCTAGTCCCAACCCTGACCCTAACCCCAGGTTAGGGGTGGAGCCATAGCTGTTGCTTGCCCTCCTGCCACCTCTGCACCCCACTGCCTTTCCCCTGGCCACAGACTCAGGGCCAGGCTGAGGCTGTTTCATGCCCCAGGCTGGAACAGGGATATAGCCTACCAGTGCTGAAGGAAAGGGGGTGGGGGCAGACAGGGAACAGAGGCTGCAGCAGAGGGAGGGAGACAGAAGAGCCTGAGGTTGCTGGCAGAGGGATGGGTAGCAAGTGTGTGCATGTCGGGGGGAGGGACAGAGAGAGCAAGCTACTTGCCTTTTCCATTGCCCCCCAACTGCTTCTCCTACCACCTGCCCCTTACTACAGCTCTTCTAGTGCTGCCCCCACCATCTGACCCCTGTCAATGTTTTCCCTGCTGTAGTGGTAGTGAGGAAAAATGTAAGACAATCTTCCAATAATTAGTTTCTATATGTGGAAAAATTTTGCAAATGTACAGCATTTTCCATATACAGAATCTAATTATTGGGGGGGTGAATCTTAAATTCAGAGTCATCTTGGATTCGAGTAAATACGTTAAGTCTTTGAATGTGTTTTGCTTGGACTTGAAAAAATACCCATGGTCCTTTAATAAAAGATTTTACCCCAATGTTCTTGATGAAAATATTTTTTGCAATGTGCACCACAATGTCTGTCTTGCTGCTCCCTTCTCAGAGGTGATAGTATATCAGTAATGCTTTATGAAAAAAATTATGAATTCCCAGATCCTGTAAGATGAAAGGTAGTAAGCACCCATATATTTAGTTATGCCTCTGACTCTGCACAACATATAGCAGAAATCAAGATAAGCATTCTCCAACATTATTAAAATCCAATGAGATGCCAAGCAGGGAGATCCAAAGCCTTCTTTAAATGGTTTTATTTCTCTGCTTGTTTTAAGGAAGAAGAAATCATTCTATTTCATATTAAAGTAAATATAGTAAAAAATAAAGTAAAATACCTTTACTAGCCGGAAGTAGTTGAGAGATCAGCCCCAGTGAGGCTCCCACCTAATCCTCTCCAACCCCAACACCTCCTTGCAGCCAGCTCTCCCCTGAAGGACTAGTTGACTAGCTCAGTGGTCTCAAATCTTTTTAGGTGAAGATCACTTTTTCAAGCAAAGGGCAATCCAGGATCTACCAGGCCACCCTCCCCACCCTCCAGCAGGTCAGTTGGGGGTGGGGGGCAGATCGAGGCCCCCAAAGTGAGGGAGGGAGTGGGGCACGGACTGGGGTGAGTGGGGCCCTGGCCAGGCTGGGCTGGGGGAGGTTCAGAGCCTGGGTGGCTTGTCCAGGTGCACAGGGTGGGGGCAGGCAGCACATGTACCCCAATCTGGCACGATGGTTGCCGCTGCACGCTGGGTTTTGTGCTCCGAGTCCTGCAGCAGCAGCTACCTCGCCACACGCACAGATCGGGGGGGGGGGGGGGGGG